CCCCATCCCCTCCAGGTTAACTCCTCCCCCTCCTCCGACCTTTCAATGAAGGCTAGCCTAACCAACCTGCTTAAAACTGCATCGGTCCACCAACCTGAAGCATCTTACCTGCTCTTTATTTTTTCCAAAGCACTTCCCACACAACAAGTTCTATAATTTGCTAATTTACTGTGTCTCCTTTGTCTCTCACCTCACTAGAATGTAAGCGCCTCCAGGGCTGGGCTTTTTGTACTCTGCTCACCAGAACAGTACTGGTTAAGAGTTCAATAGATACCTGTTGAATGGGTTAATTATTTATTTCTCCCTTCCCATTCTCACTCTTCCACCCAATACTAATCCTGGACTTCATCATTTTTAGACTTTTTTTTTTTAAACAATAGAGTCTGTCTATACTATCATTTCCTCCAAACCATCTAACATACATCCAGACTTAATCTTTCTAAAAACACTTCTTTGGGGATGCCACTCCCCTATACTGATTTGGCTCCTAACTTGCCCTGTTAGAGATACACATTGGTGTCATGTTTGAATGGGAAATTGGATTAGACGAGCTTTAAGATCCTCTTCAAATGGTCGATTCTACATCCAAATGACTTATCTTGGCATCAAAAATGCTCTGTAATCGAGCAGGGCCTCACCTATTCCAATTTTCATCCTACTCCTTCCAAGTTTCCCTCTGTTCCTGGCCAACTTCCTTGAGAATCCTCAAATAAGCCATGTTCACTTGCACCATTTTTCCAGTGGGTTACTCTCTACTTTCCACACCTCCTGACTATTAAAAATGATGGCAATATCCTTTCGAACCTTGCTACTCAAACTGTGACCTGTAGGCCGGCATCAGCATTACCCATGAGCTTGTCAGAAATGCAGCAACTCCAGCCCCACCGCAGACCCTCGATTTAGAAGCTGCATTTAACCAAATCTCAGGTGATTCGTGTGCACCTTCAAGTCTGAGAAGCACTGGGTGAGAGCTCATCTCAAGTCACTCCTCAATGAAGTGCTTTCTCAGGAAGCCTCATGCTCTTATGTCCACCTTCCCCAGGACCTACGTCACCCATAGCAAGCACAATGTTCAATTAATAACATCCCCTCATGGACTATTCATTCCTTATTTCATCTAAGTCTTTCCCCAATTTGGCTGTAAATAAGTTGCACACAGGACAGTCATGCGTCTGGCCAATCTGGAAGCAGGGAACAGAAACCCATTCAGGTTACTTCAAGGAAAAAAGAACTTATCTATCCTAGTGCTGCTTGGGAACTGAGGGTAGAAAACTCAGGGAGGGAGGGAGGGAGGTGCTCCAGGATCCCCCACTGCCCTCTCAGCATCCCTGTCTCTGTCCCATTCTCTCCAGCCAGTGCATTCTCTCTCCTACCTTTCTGTTCACACACAGTTTCTACTTCTTCATATCAGCAGCATTCACATGATCTATCACAGCCATCCTCTGTCTCCTCTCCCAGCCTGCTCACCTCTGTCCCTTTCTGTTTCAGTTTTCACTCTGAGTCTCTAAGCGTAACTCATCCCATGGGAGATAATCGTCACAGAGAATCTTTTTGAGCTAAACCACAAGGTTACAAGTGTCTGAGCCACCTATGGATTGTCTGCCCTTGGGTCAGGAGCCTACCCTGGCCCAATCGGCTGAGGCCAAGGGGGCTGCAGTAGCGAACAAGATCCTTTAGGCAGTGGGAGCCTCAAAGGAGAATATTCTTGAGGAAAGAAAAGTGTGGGCAGAGCAGGCAATGAGCCACATCGCCAGCCCACAGAGTCATTATTTATGTCGTCCTCACCACAGTCCAGGGAAAAACACTGTGCACATAATAAATGGAAACCAACCAATATGGGAAACCAACCAATAAGGGTCATTCACCAAGTGCCACTATGCCCCTGACTGGATGCACAGGGAATATAAAGATTGAATACGAAGCAGTCAGTCCTTGTTTGCCCAGAGCTCTTAATCCAAATGTGTTGCTGCACTAGCTACCTGACCTTATGCAAGTACCTAAACCGCCTGGGCCACAGTCTCCTCAACTATCAGAATCACCTTCACCAACCACCGGGAGTGTTGTAAGGTCCTATAAGGTAATCTTTGTGAAAATGCTTTGCAAAACACATATGTGAAAAAAACCAACACTGTAACCTTTCAACAGCAATAAAATCCACAGGCTCTGCATTGTTTTCTGGTCTTCTCTCTCCTCATTTCCCACAATATATGATGCATCAATTATTATTTGAAACAACAATCCCAACTGTTACCAGTATATTTTCATTACCTGTATGGCTCACTCAAATTGGTGATTAGGAAAATTTATTCACTTCACTCAGAAGTATATAAAAAAAAGAATGGCTACATTTTTACTATGCACATTTTTATAACACTATCCTCTGTTACACTGTGCATCTAACACTGTTAACATCCTATATGTTTTTTCATTATATTACAAACAACAGTAAGTATGTACTCAATTCCTATGTAGGACACAGGTCAGCTCTGACTCTTGTGTGGCTTTCTCCATAGAGCAGTTTCATTTCACATTTCCCAAGCAGTATAACCAGAAAATCATAGATATTAGAGTCCAGGGTCCCCGTTTTTAACATGGGGACTCTGAGGAGGAAAAATAATACAATGGCCTGTCTCAAACGCCTGAATCCTAACTTATTTTTTTCTAAAACCACTTTACCACCTGCCTCACACTAAAGGGTGGGGTGTCGGTAAGGGTAGGAATCAGTGATGATGGCAAGACAGACTAGTTCTAAAAAACATGCTATTTCACCCTGTGCAATCTTGTCTTTGCCATGAGCAAATCCAAGGGATATTTACGGAGTGGCTGCCACATGCTAGGCACGATGCTGCAGGCTCCTTAGGCAAGATGGAGAGTGTCCTGGCCCTCCAAAAGCTCACTTGCCCTTGGGCATCTGTTGCTCATTGCTCACAAGTGTATCCATTCAACAGCTGGCCCTGGGTGGAGCAAAGAAAACACCATCCACCTTGCTAAAGAGTCAGTTCAGCTAGCCAAAGTGCGGCTTCGGGCAAAAGGAAAAACAAAAAAATGAAACCTCAGACGGGAGCCGGGTGAGACGCTGCTGCAGGAGGCAGAATTGCAGAGACCTTACCAACAGAGCCCGCTGGGCACCCAACCCCAATGAAGGCTCCTCGGGCTCCGAGAGGCGAGGGGCCGTTCAGCAAAGGATCCCGCAGCCTGGGAAAGGCAAACCTGCTTCTCCGGGAGCCTTGATGGGTGGGGTGCAAAAAGGTGGGCGGCGGGCTGGGAATCTGTTCACTGGGGTGGGGAAGCCGAGGGAAGACGCGGAGGTTTGTGAGCTACTGGGGAGGGAGGTGTGTTGGGCAAGAGCGCTCGGTGACAGCCACCAAACGCTTCTCGCGGTGTAAGGCAAGCCTTTGGACTCCGGAGCTGGGAAGGGGTCTGCAAGCGCATCGCAGGCTCGGCGGGAAGAAGGGTCCACCAGGGGCGACAGCCTGGGGAAGAGGTGGGACAGGCATCTCTCCCCTCGCGCGCGCGCACGCGCACAC